TAGTAGAGACGGGGTTTCACCGTGTTGACCAGGATGGTCTCGATCTCTTGACCTCGTGATCCACCCGCCTCGGCCTCCCAAAGTGCTGGGATTACAGGCTTGAGCCACTGCGCCCGGCCAAAATCACTATTAAAGAATTTATCCATGTAAACAACCACCTGTACCACAAAAACGATTGGACTAAAAATTTAAAAAAACAAAAATTAAAAAGGAAGTACAAAATCAGTTAGGATCCTATTGCTGTAATTCATGTTGGAGTGGTGTAGTATATAGAACTAAAGGAGTGACAGCCAGAATGCAGGAGAGGTTTAATCAGTAGGACTTGGTGTTTGAATAGATACAGGATATAAGATGACAGAGAATGAGAAGTCAAGGATGATAATATCTTGGGCATTATGTGGTTGGTAATGCCATCACAGATATAGGAGAATTCAGTTTGTATTTGTTGAATTTGGTGCACAAGGGACATTGAAGTGGAGATGCCTAATGGGCAGTTGAATATAGCAGTCTGGGGCTCAGGAGAGAGGTCCTAGATGGAGATACAGATTTGGAATTGTCTTCTGGCTGTGGATGAAAATGTAATTCTGTTGGTTATGCTTAGCTACTCTTCTCTCCTTTCCTCTCCTATTCTGCCCTCTAGCTATGATGATCAATGTTTGCAATATCTTTCCTTTTTTTTTTAAGACAGAGTCTTGCTTTGTTGCTTAGGATGGGGTGTAGTGATGCGATCGTGATTTACTGCAGCCTCGACCTCCTGGGCATAAGTGATCCTCCCACCTCAGCCTCCTGAGTAGCTGGGACTACAGGCATATGGAACCATGCCCAGCCGATATTTTCATTTTTGTAAACACAGGATTTTCCTATGTTGCTCAGGCTGGTCTTCTCGAATCCTGTCTGCAAGTGATCCTCCTGCCTCAGCTTCCCAAAGTGCTGGAATTATGGTGTGAGCCATGGTGTCTGGCTTGCAATTTTTTGAACCTTCCAAGTTCTTGTTTCCCTACAGTCTGAGCTGGGGACCTAAATACCCCTCTGAGTTTTCATAGCATCCTTTTTGAGTCTGTATCGTGGCAATTCATCTACTTGTCTACCACAGTAGATCGTCTGTTTTTTAATGTCAGAGATTATGTCTTGTCTTTGTAGCCTCAGAACTAGCATACTTTGGAATATAGTTGACGTTTAATAAGTTTTTAGAAATAAATATTTAATAGAACTGGTAGCAACAAACACAGAAACTCTTTTACATACAAACAAAATAGATTTTTTTTTTTTTTTT